ACATTTGAATTATTTCCCTAGTTGATAAGTGTCTATTTCCCATGCTATGTACATTTGTATTATTTCCCTAGTTGATAAGTGTCTATTTCCCATGCTATGTACATTTGTATTATTTCCCTAGTTGATAAGTGTCTATTTTCCATGCTATGTACATATGTATTATTTTCCTAGTTGAAAAGTGTCTATTTTCCATGTTATGTACATATGTATTATTTCCCTAGTTGATAAGTGTCTATTTCTCATTCTATGTACATTTGTATTATTTCCCTAGTTGATAAGTGTCTATTTTCCAGGCTATGAACATTTGAATTATTTCCCTAGTTGATAAGTGTCTATTTCCCATGCTATGCACATTTGTATTTTCCCCTTGTTGATAAGTGTCTATTTACCATGATATGCACATTTGTATTTTCCCCTTGTTGATAAGGGTCTATTTACCATGCTATGAATATATGTATTTTCCCCTTGTTGATAAGGGTCTATTTACCATGCTATGAATATATGTATTTTCCCCTTGTTGATAAGTGTCTATTTACCATGATATGCACATTTGTATTTTCCCCTTGTTGATAAGGGTCTATTTACCATGCTATGAATATATGTATTTTCCCCTTGTTGATAAGTGTCTATTTACCATGCTATGCACATTTGTATTTTCCCCTTGTTGATAAGTGTCTATTTACCATGCTATGAACATATGTATTTTTCCCTAGTTGTCTATTTCCCATTCTATGTACGCTTGTGTTGTTGCAATTCCATGCTATGCTAGTTTTTCCGATCGCGATTTCGAGTTTTGAGCTTATTACAGACATGTTTTTCCTCCGATTCCTTTTCTCGTCGTTAATGCAGTGACGGTGTTGCTATGACGTAACTATGACACACGGTTGGTGAATTCTGTGTCATTCTCATTTACTTAATCAACATTTGTTGTAAGTCCACTGCACTGCCATGGTAAAATACATGACGCTAACTACCGACTCAGCTAGGGAGAACTAATCTTTAGCTCTTGAGTGTAAGACTAGTAAACCAGAGGTCCCGCGTTCGACTCCTACTGGAGGCATTGCAAAAAATGACCTCTGTTAGATATGAATTGCAGCGAGGCTTGTTCATTCAACTAATCTGTGCATGTAGACCACTGGATATTTGTCAGAGCATGATGCAATGTAGTATTATAGTATATCAGATAGGCCATGGGGTCGGGATGGACAGGTTTAAACTGTAGTGTACGTGTGTGTTATGCTTTGTCACTAGATTCTAACTCTTGTGAGATTTACGAACCGAGTCGAATTTTTCTTCTTTATTTATGCTCCGCGGCTCCGCCGCGAAGTAGAACTGGGAACTAACGCCGAGTTTCGTGGATCCCATATGAAAATTAACTTTAACACTTAAAACGTATCTGTTATTTCATCTCCTGTTACACACGATATACGTCTTCATTGAGTGATGGAAAAACAGGTTGAGTCTTGAAATTTAATTAATACTTAATTGTACAAATTTACTGTCACCGTAAAGTGCTACCTTTGCTGAAGGTCCAAAAAGCCTTATAAAAGATTGCATGGTATATCGCTACCCTACGTAAGATATAGGTCTGTCATTAATAAGTTGGACAAATTATTGTGAGATGTAAGAGACATCGGAGATGAATTTCACTATATGAAAGACAAACAAATCTTCTCTATGTTAATTAGACGTCATAGTGAATTATCGCTTAAAATTATAATGTCATCTAAAAGAAAAGCATCCCCTGCATGAAAGTATGTATTACTTGTAACTCCACTACAACCCTGTTACTATGTTACTGTATCCCTCTGTATAACCACACAGATTTAGCACTGTTAACGTGAAACCTTTGTATGGTACATATACCATTGTAAGTCAAAGGTGTTGAGATAAAATAAAAAGTTTGAAAATAAATGTTGTGGTACTTTGTTTATAATATTAAGATGAGGAGGTGGAGGAGGAGGAGGGGAAGGATTATCATGATATCATCATGATGAAGATTTATAAGACGACGACGATGATGATAATGATGAAAGTGATGAAAATAACGATTTCGATGATGTTGTTGTTGCTGCTGAATTGTGATGAATGTACCAATTATGAAATTGTTTGTTCCAATGAAATAAATTGAATTGAATAATATGTCTACGTCATCCATAACCGCATCAACTGCATCCTGTCAGTCGTGGATACGGCCACCGTGCCCTGATGTATTTTATAGAACATCTTTAGGCGTGCATCTTTTCCACGATCTGACAGGCTGCGCCAGCCAAGAGTACCAATCATATCCGTTACACTAGAGGTATTCCGAAAGCGATTTGACACATATCGGGCTCCTCTTCAATGGACCATTTCTATTTTGTTGATGTTATTTTTTGTGTACAGATCCCAAACAGAGCAAGCATATTCTAAAGAGTGTCTGACCAAAGATTTGTAAAACTGTTCTTTAGATGTTGTTGAGCTAATTTAAACAGCTGTCATTTTAACAGCTTAATTAATTTCAAATTAATTAGTTTCAATTTATATATCTGAACATCAATGTTTAATTGAGGTCTTCAAATATGACACAAACCATAATTAAGGAGGTTTGGTAACCTTTGTTAGGCATACTTGTGTATGTAACTGTATTGGTACGTCGCAGACCCGATAGCCTTGGCTTTCTTTACTTGAAAGGGTTTGCTGTTGTTTGTGGTATAGTATCTACAGTATGAAAGTTGATGTAACTTTGTTATTGCTCTGTTACACGTTTTGATCTCGATTCTTATACAAAGTAAGGTGAACGTTTTGCTGGTACCAATCACTCGACAATTTTGTACATAAAGATGAGGCGTTATGATGATCGGCTATATTGGAATATCGATACATTTTTGTTCAGTACGCTTTGAATAGTTCGTGGTTTTACCAATACTTCAGGGAAACAGAATAATTATTGGTTTTACCAAACCTTCAAATAAGAGTAAGCTGGGTTACTCTGACTTCCTTCGAGCTATGTATATACACACCTCCACATAGAAATAGTACAAACACAGGCACACATTGACCAAACAGAAAAGAATGGTCCAGGTAGATTATACGGTTGAGTACATCCGATACTAGCTACTGGTCAAACATTGGTCAGACCTTACAATACCATGGGTCTTAATATGGGTCACTTTGTCCTCAATTGATTTTTTTTTCAAGCTGCATAGATTTAACGTTGTTGATCGCGACTATTGTAATGGGTATTACTGAAATAAAGTCGTTACCTAAGGCGTAATCATGTCTGGGCGTATAACGTGTGACCTGGACATGTCGAACTTACTGCTAGCTGGACATGACTGGTCGTTATTTCGGTAAACAACAGTTATAGCGAGGGTATTAATTTCATTAATTTGGAAAACCAGCAGAAATGGTATGTATCTGGAAGGAACTCTATGATCATGATTTTACCTTAGCATTTTATAAAAGTATATGTTTTAAATACTGTTAATTGATTAGTTGTAATATATTCCATTTTGTTCTATCAATAAGTTTATTTCGCAAACCATGCCAGAAGGTTTCAGCTTAGAAGTAGTTAAAAGCTATTTCCGCAGCACTGCAAACTAGATATCAGGAAAAAAACGAATTTTGTCTGCGCGTAGTCAAAATATGAAACAATCTCCAAAAACAAGTAATCTCGGCACCAACAGTAAATTCTTTCGAAAAATAGATTAGAAAAGCATTGGGAAGATCAAGATTTTTTGTAAAATTATAAGTCCGAAATTCTATAGAAATTGGAAGTGTTGTCACAATTGATTAATTTAATGTATTGTTGTTATTGTATATTTTATTGTACTGGTATTAAACTTAACTCAACTTAACTTAGTAATAATTTACACTTTGAACTTAGTAACAGAAGACTCGTTTACTTAGTATAATGAGGGCCACTAGAGAATATTATACTAATTATCAAGTTTCCTGCCGCAAGATCCATATTTCGAACTTGGTACAAATAGCACTGTAGCACTAATGAAACACATTCGTGTTGTTTATATATACATGAAAATTGTTTACTTTGAAATCATATATCATTATATATGGACACTCTCCCAGATCAAAACCTAAAGTATACAAGCGCTAGTAATGAGCATACTTCACAACCCAGTCTTGGTTTAATTTCAGACATATATACATTTAAAAAAGAATTTAAAAATGTGAAAATAATGTCTAGCAGTACTTAAAATATGTAAAAATGAAGGTTTGCTCGTGTAACTAAATCCCTTATATTTACTATAAGCCGCACTTATAGGTATTATGGCGGATAACGTTTAGACATAAAGTTCAAAACTAATACCATCTGTCTGAATTTAAGTCGTTCAAGTGGTCCCTAATTTTCGCAGATTTGCTTAAATTGACAATTTTGCGCGTTCTATTTTTTCGGATTTCTTGTCTTGTGGTCATCATAAAATTTGCTACGGCAAGGGTCGATTACTTTTGTATTAATGTCGCCGGTGGCATTTTCAGGAGAGAAAGAAATACGAGAATATAACGAAAAATTTGAACCAAACGAATCGACCAAGCACAAGAGAACATACCTCAAAAGTAGATGCAAATAACCTTATTATCAAAGTACAATTCGAAATTTTATCAAAACATATTAAAAAATCTTACATCTTACTTCATTATACTGGGTAAGATAAATGCACAAGTATATGTATATATATACTTGAATAAATAATCTTGTTGCACCTCTTTCCATTCTTCCTCCCCCAATCTCTTCTCTTCCATATACTTATATCTATATGAATGATATTCGTCAGTGCCGTCCAATCGCCGTTTTACAAGAAAAGGAGACGGATTAACATAAGTACTCTATACTTGTTTTCGAATCCTATATGTTTATCATGTTTGTATTTCTGGAATATTATACCGATAATAAAATAAAGTTAAACTAGAATAACGTTAATATATGTTTGCTTCTGTCAGTGGAACATTGTGAATTAAACGTTTTCTACACGTCGTGTCTATTTTCTCTGTTACAGAAAATTTCTAGAAAATACATCTGCCGTGTATGTTTGGCAATCCTGCTGCTGATCATAGGAATTAAATACACGAGAACAAAGGATCCGACACCCGTCAAAGTGCAAGTCCAGCAAAAGGGTACAACAGAAAAAATAGACGCAACAGCAAAAGAGTCTAAAATAGACACAACAGCAATAGAGGCTCTCCCGTTGAAGGGTTACATTGTTTACTACTGTGACGTCGAACATCCGGGATCCTGTGGGGGATGGTCGGATCGCATGTCGGGAATGTTCAGTGTCTACGTCATTTCCGTTATACTCCGTAAACATTTCCTCATAAAGTACACACGATCTGGTGATTTGACAGATTTTCTTGTTCCGAATTCTTTTGACTGGAAGTATAACTCGTCAATACTAACGGGTAGGACTTGGGAATATCATGATTTATTTGCAAAAGTTCCAAATGCGATCAAGAAAAGGACTCTTACTGGTCTTAAAAATCTATTCTCTAAAGATGTCAATTTTATCCGTATGAACTGGGACTTCACAGTGAACTTCAGGAAGTTTCGAGGTTTACAGAAAGTTATTCCATGGCTGTTGGAGTTACATTTTTCGGACATTTATTTAAAATTTTTCAATACCGTTTTTAAACCTTCAAATATGATCACTAAAGCAGTAAATAAGGTTGTGCAAAATGTAACCAAACTTGCATGTGCTCATATTCGTATGGGAGGGAGTGCCACGATAAGAGGAGATGACAAGCATACGGACGAGAAACAACTCGAACACATTTGGAACGCTCTAAAGACAATGGAAGCAAGTAATTATAGCATCTTTATAGCGACAGATGCAGATTTCGTGCGGGAAAGAGCAAAGTCGCTATTCAATCATCTTCTTGAAGTTGAAGGACGAATCCTGCATACAGACTGGGGTGCCAAAGGGGAAGGCTTGAAAGGTGGTTACAGAAAAGTAGTTGTGGATTTTTTTGTTCTCACAAAATGTGATGTTTTAATATTAACGAAGAGTGGTTTTGGAATTATGTCCGCCTATCTCAATACCAAGAGCTCCCAAATGTACTGCCTAACGCCAAACGAGCTCGTGCCCTGCTCCCGTTACACAATCCATACCTACTTCCCCGGCGATTTACTCTCCCCTTACTAGTAAAGTGGTACTTGTATGTAGTACTCTAGTAAATTTTTGAAACCAGTAATACTGGGTAGTTTGTTTCCCATCTTTTGTTTGTATATGTGAAATTTAGCAATTAGTATTATTGTATTTAGAGAGGTTATTTCTTGTCTGTTTGATACTTTGCCTAAGATTTTGTCACCATTTTGAAGAAGTTATGTTTATACAAATGTACTAAAGCTTGAAGCAAACGACGGTCAAATGTTCACCTGTCCTGTGTAATTGTATCTATATGTCACGTACAGTATAAAGCATTAAGGTGGCTCGACACATCGTCATCAGCGTCCATTTTCGTGACGTACTTCCGGAAAAAGTTCAGCTCGGACTCAATTATCTTGATCGAAATGTGCATGTACACCGTGTCGTCATTTCCGTTTTGCGTATCGGGTATTCAATATCGTAGTGCAAATTATAGTAACACCTGGGCCGTTTGCGTTTAAACGGTCAAAGCGATCGGACCACTGTTGTTCGTTTATTAAATAAGGTATAGGACCTAGTTATCTGATGCTGCTTTCAGGCGAGCCTTGAGAAAGCCTTGCAAGTCTTGCATACACATTTGTAGGTCCGCCAGGATTTATACCCGGAATTGTTACATTTATAAACGGTCAAACCGGTTGTTCCGCATAAACGAACAGGCCCCTGGTAAACAATAGTAC